CCTGAAACGGGTGTGGTTTTATTGTTTGTTCAGGTGTTTTCCATGGCTTCAGATTCCAATACCGAATGTGTTGAGATTGAACGTCCCAAAAGGGTTCACAAGAATCCGGAGAGATATACTCCCACAGAGGTCGAACATGATAAGAAAAAGCGGAAGCTGGGGAGGTTGGAGCGTGCTAAGCAACATCTGAATCATGATAGCTCGGTTGTATGCCATGGGCCCTTTTCAGAAGATCCAAAGGCGATGCCTACGAATGGGGAAATAGAAAAGGTGAGAGAGTTTTTGAATGAAGGCCTGCTGAAAAGGCAGGGAAGGGGGAATAGGACATGTCGGTATACAAGTAAGGTGGATAACATGACAAAAAGTCTGATTGTCCTTCATGGTTTTACAGTGGAGAACAAAACATGGCTCTATGAGTTGTTTTCGAACACAGAGTGGTTGCGCAGCACGGTATGATTTAGATTATTTTTTGTTATGGTTGTTTATTCTGAGACCGTATGTGAAATAGTCTGTGGGGGGGGGGGGGGTGGTTTGTTGTAATGTCGGTGGCATTCGAGGGGGTTGGTAGAATGGTGTGGCTGGTGTTTTTTTATGCATATTAAGGTGTTTTTATGTGTTTTTTGTTGTTATTAATGTGGCAGTAAGGTGGTGTCTTTATTAGGTACTTTGGCATTGTTATGGGATGGGTTAGTAATTGCTTTGGGTAGTGGTTTGTTGTAATGTCGGGGACATTCGAGGGGGTTAATAGAATGGTGTGGCTGGTGTTTTTTGATGCATATTAAGGTGTTTTTATGTGTTTTTTAGTTGTTATTACTGTGGCAGTAAGGTGGTGTGTTTATTAGGTACTTTGGCATTGTTATGGGATGGGTGTGTAATTGCTTTGGGTAGTTTGAGTTTAGTGAGTGAAGATTTTTTTCTTAAAAGCACAGGGGGAGGGGGGCGGTTTTTTCTTTGGTATATATTGGCTCTTGTTTTTTTCCCATTTTGTGGCAGGTCATTGTGCGGCATAGTTGTGGGTGAGTGTATCTGGAAGTGTGGTCTGTATGCATTTTAGGCCGTTCCAATGATAAGACATGTGTGTTTGTGTTTTTTTTAATTACTGAATTGTGTGCGATGTGTTTTTATACAGTATGTTGAAATAGCAATGCATTTCCTGGAAGTGAAGGGTAGGCAGTATAACCTCCTGCAGATGTACACAACTGCAACCCCTTACTTCTTGCAAGGGTTGTATAATCACCAAGCAATGGTAAATGTTGGCAAGGCCAAAAAGGAGGAAGTTGTCACTAATCGGAATCTAAGCAGTGAGGTGCTGGGGTTAGCACGGGCATATTCGAGGCCATGGTCTGAGTGTGATTTTGTGTATATGCCCTTGAATACCGGTGACCACTGGATGTTGCTTGTCCTGGAAGTTGAAGGGAGGACAATACGGGTATACGATTCAAAAGGAAGGAAGGGAAAGAGTTGTCGGGCATTGAACGAATACATGCAATGTATCACCGAGTTGCTGCCTGTCCTGCTTGATTTGTTGAGTGTATATGATGAGCACTCGGAAGGCCCAATGGGGAAAAAGAAGTTCAATATCGAGGTTGTTGATGGGTGTACACAACAAGATGACGGGTATGTGGTAAATTTTCATTTGGAACATAACGACTAAAGTTGCATTCCAATTTGTTTGAAAATAGCCGGATGATTATTGATGTTAAGGATTATGTTTTAAACTGCAGGTGCAACTGTGGGATGTTTATGTTGAAGTTTGCGGAGTATCTAATGATGGATAGAAAAATTTCTGATGTTCATGCACGCGACATGGAAGGGTACCGGGTTAAGATGACTACGGAGCTCATGGTATACAGTAACGAGCTGAAAGAGAAGGCCGAAGACAAATAGCCTTAGGGTGTGAAATTATTTGGAATGTTTCTGCATGGTGTGGACAGTTTTTTTTTTGGGATGGGGGCAGTTTCTATTATGTGGTGTCTCAGGATTGGAAATGTGATGTTGTTTTTTGTTGAATTGGTGGTACGGTATTTTTGTCGTTTTGATTATTTGTTTTTTTGTCTTTTGATATTTATTAAGTTAGACACTGTGATGTGTTGTCCTTGTTATGGACTATGAACGGTTGGTGTTTGAGTGTGGTTGTTACTTTAGTGTTGGTATTGTGTGATTGCCGTATTGGTTATTAATGATTCATTCATGTTTATCGTTTGGTTTGGTGGTCTGTTACTGTTCTTTTTTGAAGTGTTGGTTGATTGGAAGTGTTAAATCGGTTTACACTATCTTTTGTGCTGCTTGGAAAATGATAGGTGTGAGCACATTTCCCCGTGTAGACTGGCGCGGAGGTTCACTACTATAAATGATCTGACACACTTCACATGTCTTGCTTGGTAGTGTGGGGAGTGTTGATTTTTTTTTTTTGGAATTGTGGTATGGCAGTGTGTCGTATGGTTTCAAGTTTCTGTTTGTGTTTGGTATGTTGTCCCGATTTATATGCGGGGTACGTCTTAAATACTATACTGCCATTGTGTGATTTGTTTCGTTTGGCAGTATGATTGATTGGAAAGGGCTAACGGCAGTGTTTGGTTGGTACTCGTGGGGTAACGGCAGTGTTTGATTGGAAGTACAGGGAAATGTGGTTGTTTGTCTGATGTTATTGGTTGATTTGGGATACACAGCCAGCATTATGACATTGTAGTAGTTTATCAGTATTCAATTTCAGGTTTTCCCCCCGTGATTTCCGTGGTGAATTTTTTTATTAGTGTTTTTATGTTGTTATTTAATTGGTTATATGTGTGTGTGTTGTGTTGTGTGTTATTTTTACACTTCCCCCGTATAGGGTAGTTTACGAGGCATGAATCTATCAGTAAGGTAGGAGTTCCAGGTGCATGGTGTGTTTGTTGTATTACTTCCATTGTTTTTTTAATGTATGTTGGCAGTGCATTCCATACGCATTTTCAAACTGAACTTGTTTATTGTACCGGTTAGGGAATTAAAACACAATGGCACCAAGAAAAAAAAATGTGTACTCATTCAGGGTAATTTAAAAGAATGTGTTATTTATCTTATGGGTAGTGGAAGGAAATTTGACGTGCAACACATCCATGCAAACAAAAAAATACAGCCATTGTCATGTTGGTATTGGATTTTTGCATGTTTTTATATCATGTCCCATCTTCAAGCACCTGGTGCACTTCTGTTTTTTACGACCTTTGCCCAAGTGGAATTCACCAACGGATGGCAGCCTCCGCTTCTTTGGCCTCCCAGGTGGGCGTTTGTTGCATGATGGGGGCTTGCAGGCAAGGGCTTTGACAGCCGGCGGGATGTACCAAGTAGATTGGTCGCCTAATGGGTGCACAATACCGCTGTAGGTGGCTACCAATGATTCGCGTTTGTAGTATGGTGAGATGAAATTGTAACATGAGAGTCCTGGACGAGATCCAATTGCTGCTACGGCGTGGACACATACAAAATGGTCCAACTGAAAATCACCGCATGTACACGACTTGTCTCTGAGGTTAACAACAAAAGTCCGGGACCACCTGTCAACAACCTCAAACTCGTATGGGGAAGCTGGCTTAACCTGTTGCAATAAGGCTTGTTAACCGTGAAATGTTACATGGAATGAATGAAAGTGTTGCATTTTTTTTATTTAATATGTATACTATTTAGGTGGTTAAGGAAGGTATACCTTCATCCTGAATGTATCACGTTGTAGTGTAATTAGCTCCGACTCGAGCTTCCTTGGTAGAATGGTTGTTGTAAATGAAGCTATTTGAAGCCGTTCATGAAACCATTTCTGCATCCTTTCGCGAATGAAATCGACTAGCTTGCAAATGGGGTATTCGCGTGCCGAGTTGTTGACATTGTTCATTGATTCTGCAGCGTTTGAAGTCATTACGGAGTACCGGTATGGCCCACTTTTGCAACGTGCCCATCGCGGCATACCTATTTTGGATAGGTATGCACATATTCTATGGTCTTGTTCATCCAGCATTTGAAGATACTCCTCACACTCTGCCTCAGTAGCTGCACGTGATGCTTTCCTAAACTTCTAGGTCAGGTCTTCTTTAGGACCTTTGAATTTGACACGCAGGTTTCGGGCAATGTGTTCTGTACAAAAACCATGACCTATATTCAGGAATACGTTCTGAACTGCATGAATGATTCCCTCGTGGCGGTCAGACACAATATACAGATCATGCCTTGCATTCAGGGTGGTTTTCAAATGAGTAAGAAACCACAACCAAGAGTCCTTATCTTCTGCGTCACATACACCAAAGGCGATGGGGACAATCTGTTTATTGGCATCCTGGCAGTAAGCAGTTAGTAGTGTTCCTTTGTAATAGGATTTCATAAATGTCCCGTCAATAACGAGAACTGGGGAACAATGATTCCAAGCTTGTTTCCACGGGGCTAAAGAGAAGAACAAATATTTGAATCTCTGGTCGTCAGACGTAGACAAATGAATAGAAGAGCCTGGGTTCTTTGTCTCCAACATATAACATAGAGATGGTAGTAATTGGTAGGAATCTTCGTCTGAGCCATACAACTTGGTCAATGCCCTCTGTTTCACAAGAAGTGCTTTCCTATATGACATCGCAATGCCAAACTCCCTTCGCATGTCGTCGCGTATGTCATTGGGGGGGTACTGTTTTCTGGTTGCGTCGACATACCGATGGAGGACTAGATCGGCCAAGAATGCTGATGTTGCTTGTCTGTGATCACCTTCCCGGAAGTCAACAGGGCACGAATGATATGAATCAAACCTGCCACAAAAAAAAATCATATGACCGATGGGAATAGTGATTTTACAGCGAAGCGTGGTGTGTAGTGATAGCGTTATAGGAATGTAAAGTTCTGCATTTTCATAATAGTGATGTTTTTTAAGTTAGTAATGCCAGTGTGTGTACTCTATTTTGTGTTTTGACTGACAATTTTGGAAATGCAGTGGATGCTATGGCAGTGTTGTTGTCAACATTGTGGCTGTGGGGTTTTCCCACACTTGCTGATTTGTGCTGTGTATGAGCATAGGTTTCAAAATTGGACTACACGCGTCTGATAACATGAAATGATATGGAAGTGAGTGCACAGTGCGACACAGATCCCGTCATGTTTTCTAATGAGATTTGTATGCAATGTGTGAAGTGTTTATGAGTGATAGTGCACAAATGTGTGAGGGACACTGCCGAAAGACATTGGTTGCAATGGATGTAATTGGTTTGCAAAATTGGAACACAAGCATGCATATACTGGTTTTCATATTTAAGTGAATGCACACCGTGGGTCTGTTTATTATGTTAACATCCAAACATCTTTTAAGAAAATAGTATTTACCTGCGTATCTGAAATAAGGGAGAGTTGTCAAGACGAACGACACGAACTTCCCATGGACACCGGACATCAATGCAGACAACGTGCAACAATGTCCTATTTGACCTCTTTGTCTTGTACTGGAAATTATTAGACACCGCATACATTCTGAGATGATGGCATAAGTCTTCCTTGGACTTGTAAATGCTGTCAATTTGAAGAGTGGTTGGGTGATAGTGTGAAATAACGTCCACCGAATTTGACGGGAAAATCCTCCGTTTAGTTCGGTTGGTTCGCTTGGTGTTGTTTGAGGGATCAGAATTGGCATTTGAGAATTCATTTTGCATGAGTGATTGTAGGTATTGGCATTCACTTAGTTCGCTTGGTTCGTACGAGGGATTGGCTTGGGCACTCAGATGAGTAGCTGTGGCAGTAGGCAAAAACTCCATGCATAATGGCAGATATGACAAGTCGGTTTGGTGGGACTTCAACTTCAGATAGAACAAAAGTTGAGCGTCGTCCACAATGACGATAGGCGGTGGACACAAGGCAACCATGTAGGAGAACCGAATGTCATTTTGAGTCCAATCCATTGAAATGTCTGCCTTGACAGTGTCCAAGAGTGTTTTTAGTGAGGCTTCGCTATTGACATGAATAACAGTGTCGTATTTCGAAGTGAAATTTCCAAGATTGTCCCACGATCCATCAACGCGCAGCAATACCTTAATACTTGAATCCATGTGAACAAAGCCTTGAACAAAAGGAAATTGTGTATGGTCAGTGTAACGCCCCAAAATATACCCTAGAATTATTAATGAATAAATAATCAATTAATCAAATTTGTTTTGATTAAAATAAATTATTGTTGGGCTTTGGGCCGATATTAAATTTGTTTTGACATCTAATATCAAAATCTGGATAAGTCTCATAGAGATAAATCCAATATGTGGACTATTTGTGTGGTCTTGATTGGGAACCTGAGTACAGACCCAAATCAAGAATAAATAAAAATTTTTGTTTAGAATGTGAATATTGAAATGATTTGTTGAAATAAATCATTCAAACAAATGATATGAATTAAATGTGAGAAACCTTTTTGAATAAAGATCAACTAAATCAATTTTAACTCTGTCAAAGTCAAACACCCAAAAAAATATGATGTCGGAAAAAGTATTACAAATAAATATAAAAATTATATAGTTGGATTGAGTTTAACAGTCCGATTGCAATGGTACAAACGGAATTTAATTCGGAGAAAGTTGGACCAAAAAGTATACCCCGACTGGAACCAAAATTGGTCCCAATCAGGGAGACTGTGCAGACGGTGCCTCCTCCTCCACTCAGCCGATCATGAGTCGATTCCTACACAACATCCTGTGTCTTGTTCTTCATCATCTTCACTATATAAAGAGCTAAAAATTCTCATCCTTCACCAAAAGTTGTGAAACTACTACCAATGTGTTCTTAAGAGTGTGGGGAGTACTCTTAAATAGTTGGTGGTCGCCGAAGTCGCCGGAGTTGAGAGAAATCATCGCCGGAAGTTTCGCCGGAAAATTTCCAAAACCTTCATTTACCTTCGAGGTAAGCCCGTATATATATCTAGTGACTAGAATGTTCATATAGATCGTTTCTACGTTCATAAACGGTCATTTGGTTGAGTTTTGTGTTTGACATGCTTGAAGAACCAAGAATCATAAACCATGAAATTGATGTTAAAAGTATAAATTAATGATGCCAAAATGATCCATGAACCTTGGAGAACATCTCTATATAGTTTCGTTGAAGTTCGGTAACTAAAAACGGTATTTTCGAAATTGGACCCGAACGAAGAAGAAGATGAACAGT